TTTTTTGGTTGCAGCCGTCATTGTTGTTTTGGTGGGCCCGGGCTGGATTCGAACCCACCACCTTAGGTGTATGTGGCTGGCGCTTTAGCCACTTGAGCCACAGGTGCCAAGCCAAGGCATCCTAACTTCAACATCTCGTTTTTTAGAGTGACAGCAGTCAGACAGTTTGATGTGTTGATGGGGAGGGGAGCTGGCTTCAGCACGTTTGGAGTGTCCCTGCCTGCACAGACGCTAGGTGGCAACACTGCAGACGGCCTCCAACTGAGGCTTGAACAGTGGAACTTAATGTTAAAGCTGGAAGGAATCTGAGACACCAGCTAGTCCAACCCCTCATTTTTTGCAGCAAAACCCCAACAAAACAAAAAGCCCAAGGAGTGCCTTGCTCAATGATTGCTGAGTGAGAAGTGAGTCATCAGCTTTATCAGCACAGTGAATCCGAAGTTGTGAAGTAAGTTACTGTGTGTATAGAGCTCTCATTGCCAGCTGCTAATCTAATGTGAGTATTGTTTTGTGTGTCTAGATCAAATGATGCTGTTTGGAAAAGTTTCCTGGCAGTTATGTGGCTTAAAGAAACTCCCATGGTCATGTGACTCCAGATACTTCTGGGGCTGGTTGAATACAGTGTTTAATAAGTAAGTTACTCTCAAGTGAAGAAAGGTGGGATTGTTAAAGCTGGATGAGTTCCCAGTAGCTAGTTTAGTGATTTCTTGTATTTCAGATGTTTTTTGAACAGTGTGTGTAGTATGATTCAATTTGGTTTAGAAACAAAATAAACATGGAAACATGAAAAAAAAATCTCTTCAAGTTTTCTAAAATGAACATTACTTTTATAATCAGAAAAACATAGTAAATGTAAGTTTAAAATATGTAATGGCTTTTTAAGGTATTTAGTTAGCCTTTTGAGTACTAGCAAGGGAGCCCAAGTCTTTAAAAACTTAGTGGGTGTCCTGCTTAGAAGTATTATTTTGAAACTGACAAAACTAACCTCATTGCTTTATATACCATTATGATTACTAACTAGAGAAAAAGCATATGTAGAAGTTAATGAATATCATTTAATGAGGTTAAGTTGAACATAGCTTCAAACTTATTCTTTAATCTTTTATCAATAATGCTAACCAAGTGTAGTCCCTCACTCAATATGGAGTTCCTTAGTAGCTGGTGTCAAGCACTGTGTTCCAAAGGAATCAATAAAGACTCATATCTACCTAATAAACTCATAAAAATAGTGTCTGGGTGTTGTGGTGGCACCTGTAGTCCAGCTACTCAGGAAGCTAAGGAGGACACCTGAGCCCAGGGCGGCCACCAGCCTGGGCAACAGAGTGAGCCTCTCTCTTCAAAAAACAAACACACAAAACATAATATGCCTGGGCAGAACTTATGAGAAAACAGAAAACAAAAGCAAAAAATTTAGCGGGTAGAACCATAGGTTTGGGAGTTGCTTCCCCCACCCAGTGGAGCTCACTAATACATTTATCTCTTAGTTATTCAAAATGAAAGTGTGTTGCTGTTCTGTATTTATGTTAGTGAATGTAGTTAAGAGACTGGTGATTACTGTAAAATCAAGCTGCTGTTTTCATCTTGTCAACAGAGTTGATTATGAACGCATCAGGGACGTTGGCCCCGACAGGGCGGCGTCCGAGTGGCTGCTGCGGTGTGGAGCCATGGTGCGCTACCACGGCCAGGAAAGGTGGCAGAAGGACTACAACCAACTCCCAACAGGCCCTCTGGACAAATATAAGATTCAGGCCATCGATGCCACCGACTCTTGTATCATGAGCATTGGATTTGATCACATGGGTAACTCCCTATCATTTTGCTTGTAGGCTGTGCAGGTGATGTGCACTGATGATTTTGTTGCAGTTGACTCACTGTTACAGTCAAAGGTGTGTTCTCTTCTTGCCCATCAGTGCAATGAAGTGTGTTTATTCATACATTGGGTATCCATTGTCAAATTAAAGAGAGTTTACCTTCCTTTCCTTTCTCCTCTCACTAAGCTTATTTCTACATGCCTTTATTTTCTGGTTTATTGACTTAAAATTCAGGGCCTTGTTTGTCAAAGTATTTTTGTGAAATTTCTATCATTGAGAAACTCTCACTAATGTAGGGATAATAATAGCTTCTCTGTGTGTGGGCATCTCTTTCCTCATGGCATCTGACTGCAGGGTGGCCCTGGCCATGAGCACAGGCTGTGTAATGAATAACTTCTGTGGTTAATAGAGCCAGCAAGTGTCCCAATCTTCATGGGACTAAGAGGTTTGCCAGGACATAGGACTAACAGGCCTAAAACCAGGACAGTCCTGGGCATAACAGGTCAGTTGGTCATCTTAATGGTAAAGCCTATTCTTAAACTATACTTTTTCTCCCCAGAGGGTCTAGAACATGTTGAAAAAATAAAACTATGCAAATGTCATTATATCGAGGATGAGTGTTTGCAGAGACTTAGTCAATTTGAAAAATTACAGAAAAGCATATTGGAAATGGAAATAATTTCCTGTGGGAATATCACAGACAAAGGCATCATCGCTCTGCGTCATTTAAGGTAAGTAGGCAAAGCCAAAGTGGAAACTTGATGATGATGTTAAGGCAAATAAAAGACATAGTTGAGGGGTGGTGGCTTTCTTTAGTTTTAAAAAATATAATTGAAGAAAATTAGCTCACTTTCATCTAAATTTTTTAAAATTAAAATGATCAGTCATAATATATTAAGGTTTTATTGTGTTTTTTAGGGGGCAAGTTTTTTTTTTTACTTAAATCTACATAAAGCACATAGCATGCTACCTGCCACAGCAAGCCCTTAACAAGCATCAGTTATTGTGCTTTCTCTGCTGCTTTTACAGAAATTTCCCCCAGGCTTTTGGTATTTTCATGACATTTGGTATATATCTGTTAGCATCTCATTCTGTAATGTAGGTTCTTGAGGGGGAAAAAACTTTAAATATTCATTTATCTCTGGAGCCTAGAGCACTGCCTGCCACTATAGTAAATTTCAAAAACATGCATCCATTGGTTAGGAAAGCTGTTCTATGTCCTCTTCTACCACCAGCCAGGCCTCAGTCACCAAACTCCAAACAAAAACAGATAATAAAATACTAGCAAGGAAGCCAGGCACAGTGGCTCCCGCATGTAATCCTAGCACTCTGGGAAGCCAAGGTGAGGGATCACTTGGCCAACCTGAGTGAGCACAAGATCCCTTCTCTGCTAAAAATACAAAAATGTAGCCAGGTGTTCTGGCGGGTATCTGTAGTCCCAGCTCCTCAGGAGGCTAAGGCAGGAGGATTGCTTAAATCTAGGAGTTTAAGATTGCTGTGAGCTAGACTGATGCCAGGGTACTCTAGCTTGGGGCAACAGAGTAAGACTGTGTCTCAAAAAAAAAAAAAAATACTAGCAAAGAATGTTTAATTCAAAAACTGCAGGATTCTGAGTCCTATCAGAGTGGTGAAGAAAGGACATATTTAATCAACTCACTATTTTAGAAATCCCTCATTTGAATTCTGAATCTATTTAATGTAGTTCTGCTTTTAATATGTAACAGGTTTGCCTGTAACCCCAGTACCATGAGCAGTTTGAGAAATTTCAAACAATTTTAGTAGCAAAAGCACCAGATTCCACATTTCTTACATAAGCTGAGGTTTCAAAGCTTCATCTTCTAGTACAAATTTGAATATCTTTAAGAACTTTCTCAATTTTTTTCCTTTTTTGAATTAGGATTCACATTTCATGCAAAGAAGCTCTATGTCACTTTACAAATATAGATTCAGCTGGAAACGAGGAACGAATATGATTTCCCCTGTCCGGCTTAGTCCCTAGCATGAATTCCAAGACTAATGCTGTAAGACATTTTAAAGGCATAGGGTGATATAAACACATTCATAATGTATTTTTTTTAAAAGTCAATAAATTGAGTTTCCTTTTAAAAGGCCAAATGAAAGTGACTTTTCTCCGTCTCTATTTGCAGAAACCTCAAATATTTGTTGTTAAGTGATCTTCCCAGAATAAGAGAAAAAGAAAAGCTCATCCAAGCCTTGAAGATAGCACTGCCCTCTCTGGAGCTAAAATCATCCTTGAAATAAAGTAATAACTCTCTTATTTAAGTATAAAAGATCACTTGAAATTGTTGATCCTAAACAGCAAGAAATATTATATAATCTGGATGTGATATGACATTTTATAAGTAGAGAGTCCATCATATGTAGAAAATACTCACTTGTGACTCACAAAAGTTACTAAGTTGGAAGTGAGAATTTATGTGCATTAATTCGTTTTAAGAAAAAATGCAAACTAGGTAACATTTTAATTTGAATGTATTCCTCATTTGATAAAGAAATCTGTACAGATCTCTTGTAGATATTAATTTATAGTTGTTTAAAGTGATTTAACTGCAACTTAGGTATCCTTTATTATAACAGTAACTTATATTACATTTTACTTTTAAGTTACTGAACCATGTTACTATAAATATACAAATTATGAAAAATTGGAAGGTAAATTATAGATTCACTGATGGAGTTACTTATGCAAAGTAGCCTGAGTGTGGAGGCCTGCATTTCATATGGATCGCCAGGACTCGCACGCATCTCTCACAATCCTGCATTCTTAATACCATATCTCCTTTCTCAGAATGAATAGTTGATGATTAATTTGTGTATTTTGTAAGCTTACGCTAGTGTTTTATTAATGCTTGGGTGAATTCAAATAGTTTTGCTAATTGCAATAGAATAAAGGAAATAGGGTGGCGCCTGTGGCTCAGAAGAGTAGGGCGCCAGCCCCATATGCCAGAGG